AATTTTATTGAGTATTTTTGCATCAATGTTCATGAGTGAGATTGGTCTGTAATTCTCTTTCTTAGTAATATTTTTGTGTGGTTTGGGTGTCAGGGTAATTCATAAAAATAGTTTGGCAATGTTCCTTCTGTTTGTATTGTGTGGAACAATTTGAGGAGTATTGATAATTAGTTCTTCTTTGAAAGTCTTGTAGAATTCTGCACTGAAACCATCTCTCTAGGGAATCTTGGAAGCCGTGTCTTCTCAGCTGCTCAGGGCTTAGCTACGATATTCCTCGCTCCCAGAATCTTTCTATAGCTCACAGCCTAGGTAGGACCCCCAGTTTATACAGCGACACCTGTCTTATTTATGTGGTGACTCATCTATGTGACTTTTCATATGGCCAAAGACTTCCGCTGCTTTGTTCATTAGTGTCTCCAGTCTCTGGCACAAAACATTAGAATGTAGCAGATGTTCAAACACACACACACACACACAAACACACACACAAACACACAACCCTCATTGAGACAGTATCTTGTTATTTAGCCCAGGCTAGCCTTGAACTTTGATCCCCCTTCCTCACCCTTCCAGCACTGGAATTGCTGGTATGCATCACTACACTTACCTAAGAAATGCTTGATGGTTGAATGAAAAAGTGTGAATGAGTCGGGCTAGGTGACAGATCAAAGATTTTAGAGTCAGAGAGTTATAGCAGTGACGGTGTCACTCCCTGACGGACAGTCATGGGCAAGTCATACACTTCTCTCAGCCCCTGTGCCTCCCTTGACAAGGACAGTATTAACTTCCGTGTTGAAAATTAATGCCAGCACCTTGCTCGTGTCTTCCAGTGCCAGGCATTGGTAGGAGTTCATGAAATGGTTGTCACGAATGTAACAAGTACACGGTACTTCATACTTACTACACCAGCATCTGTTCTGCCCCAGATGTCCAGTTTATCCAATGACACGGAGATCTGCAAGCCATGAAGAAATCATGGTGGGTATAGATGACCAAATGCATAAGAACAAAGTGGTATGACCATCGAATTCTAGAATCTATCCTCTGGACCGGCATTTTACAGTTTATAGACCATTCCCACCTAGCTCAGTTCATCACCTCCTGAGTTGCTGAGGTCAGCAGGACAGAGAGCAAGGGCTGAAGAGGTGGCACAGGGTGACACTTCTCCCTTGTTCTGCTGGCTCCTCTTTCCTAGCCCTCCAGCACGTGGGGCCCTGTGTGGTTGCAGGAGCAGCAGCTCTAGGGCGCTCTGCCCTGCTCCAGCTTCCTGCTCCAGCTCTTCCTTGCCAAACCCTCTATTAGTCTACGGAGGAAAACAAATGAAGTTAGGAGAAAGAAGCAGTTGCTGGGCTTCGAACCTCTCAATTGGGAGGCAGCCCTCAGAGTTCAGCCCTGTCACACACAAACTGTGCAAACTCCAGGAAGTTATTTAGCTTCTCTGTGCCCTACTTCCCCCAGCTGCTTATTGAAATGATGCTACACAACAGTTCGAGGCACTGTTGTGAGGCCTGCTCAGAGCAGCACCTGGTGCATCCAATAAGCTTCAGCACGCATTTGATCCCCAAATTGCTACTTTAATCCCAAACCTAGTGTCCTTTTTCCATAACCTAAGTATAAAAGTTCATGGGTTCTCAATTGCCAGCGTGTTCACAATTTTGCATATAGACATGTACATACATGTAGAATGTATATAAGAATACATGTGTATGTATGGATATATTTATATATACACTTACATATATATATGTGTGTGTGTATATACTTATATAAAATCTTTAGAGGGCCTTGTGCAATCAGCAAGCTATAGTCATCACCCTTTCACAGAGCAGAGAACTGAAGCTGGGAATGAAGAGGCCATTCAAAGTCACACAGGTGTAATTTAGGAGGAAGCTGCTTTGCTCACGACTCTGTAGGTAAGTTCCTACTCATATCTGCTCTGAAAGAGGATGTACTTCAACCTTTTCCAGATTTGCAAAATTCACTTAGTTTCCTCTAAGCATAAATATAAGCAAGACCAAGGCTCCTAGTGATTTAGCCTTGAGGAAAACTTCTGATTCCAGAAGGCCCACTTGGAGCTCCCTCGCAGCCAACCGATGGTCTTTCCTTCCATTAAGCAGCTGTTTTGGATGCAGGACTGGGCCAGGAATCATGGGGAGAGGGGAGACAATGATAATTTTTCCCATAGGGATTTATGGTCTAGTTTAGAAATGGGGGTTGGAGCATGCTGCATCTTCTCAGGGTTGGGATTCTCAGGTTCGTGGTTCAGGATTCTGGGAGGCTGTGGGTATGAAGCACACTCTGATTTCAAGTTATCACATTGCTGTCAGAGGACTTGAATCCCAGAGTTATCCCGGGAAGGAGTGGATCTAGGAAGAGAATCCATGGAGGCGTTCATCTGTTTGTTCATTCATTCATTCATTCAACCTTCATTTAGTGTGCCCTTGGTGGACAGGGGAGATCCGAGCCTCATGGCTGAAGTCACAAACATCTAGTATTTTAGTTAGAGAGTGTTAATTTCCATAGTCAACCCCAAATAGCTAAGACACATACTAAACACAATATATTACTCTTCATACATAGACTTAAAACAAGTGCAGCCAGCAAACCTGGGTGCGGGGGTGTATGTCTTCAATCCCAGCACCTGTGGGGCAGAGGGAGGCAGATCTGTGAGTTTGAGACTAGCCTGGTCTACAGAGTAAGTCCCAGGACAGTCAGGGTTACACAGTGAGACTCTGTCTCAACAAAACCAAGCAAACCCGAATTAAATGCCCCCATAATTGTTTATCACGACCGGTTGTTGAACACCTACTATGTGGTAGTCATGTTGCACACCAGGCTGTGTGACTCCCAAGGTTAGGGTGTGGTGCAGGTTTGGAAATTGGATTATTTGAGTCATAGAAAGGTCTGTGCACTAACACCCACCCATGATACACAGCTTCATGATAAAATGACCTCATCACCAGCTGAAGTGATATGGCATTTCCACTTGGCCATGTCACCTCACCAGCCTCTCCAGTCCCAAGCCCTGCTCTCCCTTCTTTGACCCCCCACTGGCATTTGGGGTATACAACTGCCTTAATTTTATGTTTAGGTTTTGCTTTGTTACATATGTTTTTGACCCACAAGAGAGAAGACCCCATTTAACTTTGCTTGGCCTGGACTTGACCGCAGTATTTTACAATGTATCTCCTTCTAAGTCTGTTGTTCTCCTCACTCTCTGAGGGTCACACATCCATGCTCGTGCTCGTGCTCGGGAGGAATCCTCTGTTCATTCTCTCAGCGTGGAATTTCACGAGGGCTAGATCACATTTTATCCATCTGGTTTTCTCCAGAAAGTTTTCTAGATTATTTCCTTTTTTTTTTCTTTTTCTTTTTCTGTTACAAACAAGGCCACCAAAGAAACTCTTGATCTCGTCCTTAGAGGTACCCAGTAGAAGTGTTGTGTGCACAGGGTGGGAACTCTTGCGCCTTTGGGCCCATTTTGCTTAATACAAACTAAAAGTCGTTGTACCTGTTTCAGCTGGAGAGGCGGCTCAGCAGTGAAGAGCCCTTGCTGCTCTTGCAGAGGACCTGTGTTCACGCACGGCACCACACACAGCACCCACTTGGCAGCTCACAACCTTTCGTAACTCAAGTTCCAGGCCATCTGGGCACACGTGTAGTGCCTGAGCACACACACACAGGTAAAGTACCCGTACATGTAGAGCAAACAAATCTTTAACAATTAAGCCAAACAGGCCAGGCAGTAGTGGCGCACACCTTTAATCCTAGCACTCTGGAGAGCATGCTGGCCTCTGTGACTTAGAGGCCAGCGTGGTCTACAAAGTGAGTTCCAAGACAGCCAGGCTGTTACACAGACAAACCCTGTCTTGAAAAACAAAACAACAAAACAAGTCACAAATTAAACAAAACTGAAGGAAATTCTTCTGAAGGGCTACTTTGGGCTCCGGTTAGGGGGCTCCAAGGTGTTGACTGGCTAGCCGTCCGAGAGTGACCTTGGGAGATATCACAGCCTGTCATTTACCTGGTAGTTGAGAGCAGGGCACGCTTTTGATAGTTTATCTCAGGTGAGCCTCTGAGGTCGGAAACACGTGCTGTTATTGACTGACCCTTAGGAGAAGAGAAATTGACTTCTGGTCTGACACAAGAGAACCTAGTAAGACCGAGGCAGTTCCGCCCCACTGGGAGCTTGGTATTTGTGCCATGGCTTGTGGACTTGGAGAGATTTACTCTTGTGTTCTTTCTAATTAGGATTCAGTTTATCAGCTTTGGCATCAAGGCCATGGCTAAGTCCCGGTGGATCCCGGCCTCTCCTCTCTCTAGTTCTTTTCCCCTCCACTCTCCCACTAATGGTAATTTCTTTCCTTTTGATTTTTGGTTGAGGAACATGTTCAAAGAGTTGGAAATGCAAGAGGAAGGACTGTACGTTGTAAAGACTCCATCCTACTTGCCCAGACTCTCCTGCGAAAGGTAACCCACTTTTATTCATTTCTCACCTGTTCTCCTAGAATTTTCCTTATGTAACTGCTATTTTACAAAGTCTCTGTAATAGACTAGATAAGGTATTGCATACATGATTCTGACACGGAATTCTCAAGTATCAACACACCAGGGGTTAAAAATAGCTGTGTAAACAGCCATGATTGCACAGCAAGACCCAGCTAGCCAGCAGCCCAGCGAGGATGGGGCGGGGCAAGGCTCCTGAAATCCCACCACTCTAGGCAGTTAGTGACTGCTGGGGGGAGGGGTGGAGTTAATTTTCTCCAAGGACGCAGCTACTAGGAGGCTGCCCTTCCACAGGGGCAACACTAGAGGGACTCAGAGGATTTGGAAAAGAAAGTACATGAGGGAGAATGGTACGGGTGAGACACGGGGGAGGAGTGGAAGGGGAGGAATGGGGGTTGGATTTCATCAAAACACATTATCTGAGTGCATGAAATTCTCAAACAATAAATAAATAAACCAGAAATGTTGAAAAAAAGAGTAATAAGTTTTTGGTCTTCATCAAATTTATTTAATTAAAAATAGCTATGTAGCAGTTTGTTGTCTCTGACTAATATTTATTTATCCTCTCCTGTCCACCTCTCTGTAAAGCTGAGTGCTAAGGGGAGGGTTTAAAATGAAGAATTGAAACAGCCCTTCCCTAGGGACTGGGAGCCTGAGAGGCAGAAATATCAAGTTCAAGGCTATGTATCAATAATAACAACAAAAGACAAAACCCACAACCCCCAACTCAAACAGCAAAAAGTACCCCTTCTTCCCAAACAAAAACAAAAATGGGCCCCGCCTTCAAGGAGACTGCAGAGGAAGAATGACAAACAATAGCAGGTTCTGTGCCTACCAGAACTACTTATGGAGTCGCAATGGCTCTCAGCACTGCTCTGGACCTGGGGAGACGAGGGTAAATAAAAGCCATGGAAGTCCCTCCCTGTGGCTCTGGTGTAGCTGACGTCGGTCACTGTGAGAGAACAGGGAGGCTGTTATGGCCTCTGCCAGACTTGTCTATAAACACGGCTGCACCGTGGGTGCCAGGCCAGGTGTCTGACTGCCGGCCAAGCTTGAGAAGCTGCCTGTGACTGCGGGGTAGACAGGCCACCAGCTAGGCAGAGGCAGAAGAGTTTTGTTATAGGGAAGCAAACGGCAGGGAAAACCGGCATTTTCCCAAGTCCTCTCAGGCAGTCTGGGGCCTAGCGTCCAATCCTCGTTGGTTTGATAAGATTTTTTGACTTTGTTTCTTCTTAAGCCTTCAGGGAATATGGCACAGGAGTCCTGGCCCTGGGGTGCTCCTCTGAGCCACCTGTGGTGAGCAGGGTCAATGGGATCAATAGGAAAAAGACTCAGGTCTTTTCCTTGAAGGGACGGTAATAAAGAGGGCCTGGGATGTGCTGCCACAGCCCACTACCTGGGCCTTCTGTGGGTGCCACTGCGGTGGGCCAAAGTCCCTGTGCTTGCTGGCATGGATACTAAGGGCTGGTCTCGAACTTGGTAGAGTCATGGTAGGGTGTGGCAGCTCGCAAGGAACTCTCGTTTTGGCTCTGTTTGTGAGCTCAGGTCACTCTGCCCCAAGGACTGGTCCGCACAGTGATCATCTAGCTGTGACAGGATAGTTGCGAGTCTCCAGGCCTACAGGTCCCCACTCCCATTTGGAATGTTTAGCCCATGCTCTGACTCTGAAGAGAATACTGAATGTGTGCCCTGGGCTCTGTGAGGCTGTAGCGGAGCCCTCCCTGTAAGCATCAGGGTGTCAACGCTCTTTCACGCCGGCTGAGAGCTCATTGCGGTCTCAGGATTACTTCGCGGGTGGGTGGCCTGTCTTCAGGAGGACTTGCCTTTCATGTCTGGTGCTGTTGCTGCTGCCTTGAGATTATATTTTTTGAACAAGCTCATTTCATTTCCGTGCCCAGGAAATGGTGCAGCTTTTGGTGACTGCATTTACCCTGGCGTCTGTTGTTTTTTGAGACAATGTTTCTCTGAAACTCTAGCTGTCTTGGGACTCACCCTGGGCCTTGAACTCAGAGATCAGCCTGACTCTGCCTCCCACATGCTGGAATTAAAGGCTTGTATCACCACACTCAGCTCTTTTTTTTTTTTAATTAAAAAATGAACGCCATAGTTTCTCCTTATCCAAGGAAGTACTCCTGGACCCACCAAGATGCCTATGACCAAGCTTAAATTAGGTATGGCAAGAGATGAGCAATAATTGATAAGAAAATAAATGACTATGAGACTGTACAATAATAAAAACGATGCAGACGTGTATTTGAAGACTACTGTACCGTTCTCAACCTTATCCTTCTGTGGTCACATGGGATGCACCGTATCTGTGTGCTGAGCTGAGTGAGTGGGGTGAGTGGCGCAGGCATTGTGACACAGCTGTAGGCTGCTGTGGCCGCTGAGACAGCGGCGAGGTGACTGGCGGGTAGCTAGCACACACACTGTAGATACACTAAATAGAGGGACGGCTAGCCAGGGTAGGATGGCACAGGCGTTCATGGAAGGACATGTGATTTGGAGGTTGTAAGTTATTTCTGAAATTTGCTATTAATATTTTTGGCCCCCAGATGACCACGGGTAACTGAGACTGCCACCAGAAAGGACTGTTGTTCCCAAAGGACACACTTGCTAGATGTACATTTAGCTACAGCCCATATGTTCACTGTGAGGCTAGTGCGGACGCACACCCTCACACACACCATGCATCCCTTCCCAGTCCGACTCAAAGGAGAGCCGCATGTGTGTGTGTATGTGTGCATATGCATGCATGTGTGTGCATGTACATGTGTGTGCATGTACGTGTGTATGCATGTGTGTACGTGCACGTGTGTGTGCATGTATAGCGTTCATCTCTGAAGAACACAGACGGTGCTGTGCTACGGGCACATTCTGTTACTGTGACGGTGGCACATGGTGGTTTGCTTTATACTCCAGAGCTAGGTGTGGGCGGACGGGGCCCTTGAGTCCCCGGTTAGTACTCTGATCCTCTCAGTGAATCTTTGTGTCAGGTGCTTCTTCCTATAGTTTCAGATTAACACATTAGTCCTCCCTGGGACTCAGGAAGGAGACTTTTGTGGAGACAGGAAATGCCTGTGGTAGGCATGAGACAAGAACCTGACATTGGAAGACCCTAAAGGTTCATCCTGACTGCCTCCTTCAGACTGAGCCACCCTATCTGTGGGGTGAAGCCAGAAGAAAAAGCAGGTTATAACCTTGAAATGTGCAAGGCACAGAATCTGTATGCTCTCCAGCTACTTAGCTCTGGGATTTGTTTCTGATTTTGATTGGTTGCCTGAATCAAGAATCCTGAAGTTTTTACTCAGGACATTTGAATTCTTACCCAACAAACCCAGGTTCAACATTCCCAGAGCCTGGGAACAGCTTCAACCACCTAACTTGACAAAAAAACAGCTTTTCAAGTGTCCCCAGAACAAACGCCACAGCCTGGAAGCAGAGGACACCTCTGCCCCCTGGTGGTCAATCACCAAATCATCACGGCGCCCTTTGGGAGCTGAATTTCCTTGGACAGCAGCTTTGACACCTCCTTTCATATGGAATACAGCTGTCCATCACCTCAAGGCCTCTCCCGATAGGCTCTTCCTGTAGCTCATGCCATAGCTGTCAGTCCAGTTGTCCCTCCACAGGAAAGCCCTCATGGACCGCTGTGTCTAAATAGCACCTCATTGCTCTGTCTGTCCTGCTCCGTGTCTGCCGACTCCCTTTCTCTCCAGATTTCTTTGGGAAATCGGGACTCCCATCTGTTGTATTGCTACCAATCCTCAGTGCAACGTACATCAAAGGCATTAACAATACTTGCTGAAGGAGTAAATGTGTCTGTCTGCAGCAGCAAGGTCCACAGCACCTAAATGGATCTTCTGGTCCTCAAACCGCACTGGGATACGGGGACCTTGGGATGGTTCATCCGGCAGGTGGACACGCCGAGGCCTGGTCAGTTGTGGGAGTTGTTTGAGCACCTGGGAATCAGGAACAATCGTTTTTGTCTTGTGTCCTCAGTTCTCCCTGGAAGAAGCTGCGGGCAGAAGCTTGGTTCGCGTCCTGGCTCCTCAGCCTGGCCACTGAGGGAAGAGGGCTGAAACACCATCCCCAAGCTACAGGTCCGAGGGCTCAAGGGAGCAGCCTGTCTGCAGAGGCGAGCAGACTGTGCCAGGGGAGAGGAGGACGAAGAGCTTGAGCCGTCGAGAGTCCTGGCCTGCGGCATTCTCTCTTGCTGCAGCCTCCGGCCTCCATAGGGGCATGCAGGGGGCTGGCGGGGGTGAGGTGGGGCCCAAGGACGAGCCCAGAAGTCAGCAGCATCTGCTCTTTGGCTGGCCTGGTGAGAGCTTAATGGAGTCCACAAGGTGACTCTCTACAGTGCCTTGGTACTGGGGAGGAGAGAGGAGTCAGTAGTCATTGACTGAGGCCTGAAAAACCGTGGTTCATAGCTTCTCAACCTGCCCCGAAAGATGCGCATTCCATATTTTCTGTGATGTTATTGGGAAACCAAGGACCAGAAGGGAATCCCGAGCTGTCCCACCTTCTCGCTTTCCCTCCCTGTCCTGCCTCTTCCCAGGAGTCCAGAGGGTTTCAGCAGAAGGGTTACAGGAGATCAGCCCCCTGACCTCTAGTCCCATAACTTCTCATTCCTCAAAAGGGACAACTGAGGCAACATTTGGGCTTTGGCAGAGATGGACAGCTAGCCTCTCATCTCTGATGGATACTTGTTCCCACAAACATTCTAATACCTGTTGTCAGAGGCTGTTAGTTTGTTTCTGGTTGCTCAGTCCCAAAGTAATCACATAGAAACCATATTATTTGCAATACTGTTTGGCCAATAGCTTAAGTGTATTGCTAGCTAGCTCTAACATCTAGAATTAACCCGTTTCCATTATTTTATATTTTACCACAAGGCTCGTGGCCTACCAGCAAGGTTCCAGCTGGTAGCTTGCATCTTTCCCCTCTGGCAGCTACATGGCATCTCCTGACTCCGCCTCCTTTCTCCCAGCATTCAGCTTAGTTTTCCTTGCCTAGCTCTACTCTGTCCTATCACAGGTCAAAACAGTGCCTTTATTCATTAACCAATAAAAGCAACACATAGACGAAAGGATTTTTCCACACCAATACCCCCAATATTCTCTATGCCCAGGGCACTGCCTGTCTCTTCTGGCATCTGGGGGAGCCTAGCTGGCCCTTGAGGTCCCCATCCCAGATTTAGGGAAACTGGCCTCAGCAGTTCAGTGTCTCCATGCCACCTTTTCCCTCTCTGCCAGCTATCCAAACTCCTGCCCCCACAAACACCAGAGAAGGTCCCTGCCCACCAACAAGCCCCCCTGGTGCCCACCTGGCTTCCTTTCTAAGAACCTCCATCCCTTGCTTCCAGGGAAGGCCAAGAGTTCTCCAAGGCCATGGCTTCTTTCTTCATTTTTTAAAGCCAGAGTCTCCTCAGGGTTGGAAATATCAACCCTCTGTCCTTTGCCTGGGTGTTAGGGTCACAGGCTCTAAAGCCATGGGTAACACAGACAGAAAGGTTGCTGTTGCTGATTCTGGATTTCTTTTTATTTTTTGATTATGTGTAGTGGTGTGAGCCTACATATGGGGATGTGCATACGAGTGTTGATCCTCGCAGGGTCAGAGTTCAGGGGTCAGATCCCCTGGAGCTAGAACTGACAAAGATGTGATCCACCTGACATGGGAACAAGAACCAAACCTGGGAAAAGCAGAAGGTTCTGTTAACCACTCCTGCTTCCCTCTGTTTCCCTCGTGTGCCCCACTCCTGAGTCTGAATGCTGTAGTGCCCCATCCTGAACCCCTGCATGACAGGGAATGTTTATGGGATGGGACATCTTTATTCTATACACAGGGAACAGGCTCAGGTCAGTCCTATTTTGACAGGCATTCCTGTGAAGTTACTGGGACAGGACTTTCTCCAGGTCAGTCTGACGGTGGACACCATGCCTATGACCTCCAGGCCCCAGCTCAGTCTCCTGCACAAGTCTCAGGAAGTGCAGTGACTTGCCAAGCCCTTCTTTTGCAGAGAAAGGATGTTAGCTAGAACATGCACTGCCAATGGCCTCACGTGATGAAAGTGAGGATTGTAGGAAGGATATATCTTAAATCCAATGTAATAGGACGGGAAAGACACTCTCTCCCCTAAAGGACAGCTAATGGCCACATATGTCAACTGGCAGCGGGCTGGGAAAGATTCCTTGTGACTGAGTGTTTGGCAATAATTGCACCACATAACCCTGATAAGTTGTGATATGCTGTCTTGGCTAACGGTACAGGCACGCTCACCTGCACCTTAGGAACCTGCTTTCCTGTCTGTGGCAAAGCCACACTCACAGGCCGTGCACTAAGGTGGGTGCTCTCTGCTGTTCTTTCTCAGGAGCAGTGGGAGCTGGAGGCTGACCTGAGGTCCAGCTGGGTCGTGGGAACAGAGGAAGCTCTTAGCTTCCCTTGTGCAGTCGCTGGAGGCAAATGCTGCTTGTCCCCACCAGTAAGGTCTTGAGACCTTTTCTTTGGGACAACATGGGTCATGCAGGCTGTCAGTCACTCACAATGAGGTCAGGGTGATGGCAGCCATTCACACCTGGGGGTGCCTCCAAGCTCCTAACCACTCCTTGTTCATTTCCCCATTTAAAACCATTGCTCTGACAATGATTACCTTTTGTTTGTTTGAGACAGGGTCTCTCTGTGTAGCCCTTGCTGTCCTAGAACTCACCACGTAGATCAGGCTGGCCTCGAACTCATAGAGATCTGACTGCCTCTGCTTTAATACTCGAGTACCGGTATTAAAGGCATATGATACTATGCCTGTTCCTTCTCTTAAGAAACCTCTCTTACTTCAAGTTGGCAGAACGAGGTAACCAGATGATTTCCAAGTTGCGCCAAACTTTCAAACCCCCACATTGTAACATTAAAGTTCTGCCATTAGCTGGGCCTGGTGGCACATACTTGTGACCCCAACACTGTAGAGGTGGACACGGGGTGGGTGCGCTGTGAATTAGAGATTAGTGTGGGCTGCAGAGTGAGACCTTGTCTCAAAAAACCAAATCAAAACATACAGAAGTAAAACCCACATAGCTTCCTGGCAGCCTTCAGAGGCCACTCCCAACACATGGGCTGTCACCACACCCCTTCTCTGGACTCCATCACGGTGTCTGCTTCGCCGTGCAAAAGTTGTGTGGCAGTCACCATGCTCTTTGTCTTCCTCGTGAGTCTGAAGAACCCCTGCTGCCTGCACAGTGTCTGGCACAGATGCCACACTCAACACAAGCTGTTTAAGTTGACGCATGCAAGTGCCCGGGTCTATTTATTGCTCCGATTGGGAGCTGTCAGCAGCTCCTATGGATCCACGAGAATTCTCTCCCACAGTGAGTACTGGCCTAGAGACACTTCTCAAGTCCTCATTGAATTAGACTCCCCGGGCACCAGCAACAAGACTGACATTTTAAGTACTCCACAAGAGATCATGACAGCTGGCCAGACTGTGAGACCAACTACCTACTCCCAGGTTCTTTGTGCCTCTGACATCCATGGCACCAGAACTGCCAAGCCCATCCACTACTAAATAATTAAAAAGATGAATACTCTTATGCCCTCCTAGTCTTTACCGACTCCCACGTTTTCTTCTTCGGAAGATCCCGGGGACTCCTGCCTAGGGCAGTTCTGACTGGTTCCACCCCCACATCACTCACCCGCAGCAGAGCCTGGCTGGCCAGAACCTCAAAGGCTTGGACCACATTGATGTCGTTCTTGGCGCTCACTTCAAAGTAAGGCATGTCCTTCGCTTTACACCATCCGCGGGCCACCTCCTGGGGCACCTGGGGGAGAGAAGTGATCAGTTTCTGTATTGCTGGTGCCACAGCCGCTGCTGTTGTTGCTACGGTGGCTTCAGTGTGGTTTGTTCCCTCCAGAGCCCATGTCGAGATTGATCCACCTCCCCCCACTCTGATGATGCTGAGAATAAAGGAGATGAGGTCGTTAGGAAGAACTAACATGGCACTAAGAAGATGGCTCAGTGGGTAAGAGCATTTTTTGCCCGTGAATGGGGGCCTGAGTTAAAATCCCTGACACCCACATAAAAGCTGGGTATGACTATAGATGCCTGAGATCCCAGTGCTGTGAGCCAGAGACAGGGGGGTCCTGAGAAGATACTGACCAGTCAGCCTCACAGACAAGGCAAGCTTCGGTGCAATGAGAGACTCTGTCTCAAGGGAATGAGGAGGTTCACGACAGGGCAGGACAGCTGATGGCCTCCTTGGCCTCTGCCCATGCAGGGACATAAACGCCTTCCTCAACATGCACACATGCACGCATGCCTGCCCCCTACACATGCACAGACATTTTAAAAAGAGGAGATAAAAAGGGACCAGCTCCCGAGGGACTGAGGTCTCTTGTGTAGGACTGAGTGCCCTTCGTCAGAGAGTGAGACCATCCCTCAGCTTTTGAGCATCTCCCTTTCCTCTTCCGTTTTCTGTTACCAACACCATCCCTTCCTGCCCTGCCCCAGGATCATGGCAACTGCCTCTCCTGATGACTGAGAGCCTCTCCTCTATCTGCAGCTCCATATTTTATCTCCAGTTCCTAACATGAATGTCTGAGGTGGGTGTTGCCAACGCCATTTTGAGATGAGCACCTGGAACGGCGGATCTCAACTGGTGGGTCCCGACCCCTTTGGGGGTTGAATGACCCTTCCATAGGAGTCACTGAGGCCATCAGAAAATACAGATATTTGCTTCAAAATTCATAAAAGTGTCAAAATTACAGTTATGAAGTAGCAATGAAAATAATTTTATGTTTGTGGGTGGGGGTCAGCACACCATGAGGAACTGTACAAAGGATCGCAGCATCAGGAAGGTTGAAAACCACTGACCTGGAGAATTACTTTTGCCCAGAACACAGCCTGGAGAATTACTTTTGCCCAGAACACAGGATTTGGACATGGACCTGCCAGAATTAGAGTCCACTTCATTCGCTGGCTTCCTAAGGTCTGTGGCCTTTACTGCTGAACTGTCATTTTGGCCTCCATTTGCATAGTTTTGGTTTTGATGCGTTCTCCTCTTATATATTTAAAATGATTATTATACAAATTTAAAATTAGCATTTCTGGGGGCTGGAGAGGTGGTTCAGCAGTTAAGAACCTTTGCTGCTCTTACAGAGGACCTGGGTTTGGTTCCCAGCACCCATGCGGCAGCTCAGTTACTATGACTCTGGTCCCAGGGGACCCAATGCCTCTGCAGGCACTGCATGTATGTGGTACACTTAACATGCATGTAAGCAAAATACTCATAGACGTGAAATGAGAATAAATGAAACTTTGAAAGAATTAGCAGATACGATCCTAGCCAGCAAACCTCTAAGAATAACAGACTATTGTACAATAAAAAAACACCATCCCAGTTCCATTGGTGGGAGGTCAGAACTCACTCTTGGGTGTGGAACTAAGCATTAAAGCTCCAGGGAATAAATCTCTGCAGCTCAGATGTTAAACCCCCTTTCTCAAGAACCAAGGTTTTCCTACTGTTGGCTTCTGTGGAAGGGGTTTTTAATAAAACTAAGGCAGTAATTTCTTTCAAATCATTATGGTTATATGTGTGTTTGCATATATATGCACATATTTATTTTAGTAAGATACACACCACATATAACAACATTGTAGTCATACTTAAGCATATAATTCAGGGAATTAAATGTAACCCAAATAATAAAAACTCAGAGACAGAAATTGGGATTCTAACCGAAAACCAGAAAAGCAAAGCAGCCAAGACACCAGAGAAGTCTTACCTCTACCAAGACTGGGCAACAACAGACTAAACAGCTGAAGCCTCTCTCTCCTCACATTTTATATTCCCTCTGGTGCTAGGAATAAGGGCGTATGACTCCCTAGGACTGGGATTAAAGGTGTAGGCCACCACCACCTGGATTTATTTCTGCACTGATCTTGTGTAGCCCAGGGTAGCCTTGAACTCACAGAGATCCCCCTGCCTCTGTCTCCCAAATCCTGAGATTAAAGGTGTGTGTCATCATTGCCTGACCTCTAGTGGCTTTGTCTTTGCTTCTGGTCTTCAGGCAAGATTTATTTATCAAAATACAGACAGTATATCCCACTACGCTTAAGTATCTGCCTACTGTTGTGGGACCATCGTCATTGCTTGACTCCAGAATTTCCTCCTCCCCAAGTTTATCAATGTATTTATTTTCCTATAATTAAGTAGGAAAAACTAAGCCAGGCAGGGGTGGTGCACACCTTTAATCCCAGCACTTGGGAGGCAGAGACAGGAGGATCTCTGTGAGTTTGAGGCCAGCCTGGTCTACAGAGCAACTTCCAAGATAGCCAGAGCTGTTATACAGAGAAAACCTCTCTCAAACAACAAGAAAAACAACAAAAGTAGGAAAATCTACTTTTCCAGGCCTGTCCCTAAGGTGTATACAATCACAATATTTCCCTTAATCCTCAAATAATATAGGAAATCCATCTGGTTTCCACAGCAGAGAAGAGGTTGGAGTGAATTTAGGGCACACCAGGAACAGGGCAGACCATTGGGTGGGCTGCTCAGCCGGGGTGCTGAAAGAGATGGTACCTAACAACTCAGCCTCCCTGGACAGTCACTTGGCTAGTCTTCATTTCTCCTCATCCCAACCAGGGGTTGACAAACAGCTAAGTTGGCATCAGAGCAAGGAGATGTGAGGCCAGCAGCCGCCCCTCCTTGGTTCTTGGTTCTAACACTGTGGGGTATTTGTAGTAAGTCTCGCTGCTTTTTCTTCCCACTTTCCCTCCCCTGAACCTGTTTCCTTATTTAGTACCTCTTACCTCTGGTTCCCACTAGGCCACCCCCTCTCCAGACCCCGCCTCTGGGCCTCCTTCCTGACAGACAAACTCCCTTCATCTTCCCCAAATCATCCTTTACCCACCCCACCCGGCTGACCCTGGCTTCTCCTTGGGTCTTCATCATCTCTCATTCACCATCTCCACTGAGGTCTTTTCCGTATCTGCCTCTCCATAGATGATGGAGGGGTTTGGCTTGCCTGGTGCCTTGTTGCTTCTTTAAAGCAGAGCTCAGTGTTCATCTGTTGTTTCTCCCCCCCCACCATGCCCCCGAGCTTGGTGGCTCAGATCATCTGTCTTATGAGCCATCACCTGCCCTTCACCCAGCCAGGCACCTTGCATTCATTGAACATTTGCAACCCTCGTCCTTTCTCCATCAACAGTAGCTGCCGCTACTCACGGTAGCCAGAATTCCTTTTCTGCCAACAGTCACTGTGTCCCGTCTCCACCTTCTTCACAGAATCGGATCCAAATACAAATCTAGCCTTCCCTTCTGTGACCACAGCGTGCTCTCTTTTCATTTTTGCATTCCCATCCTACCCTGCTCTCTAATAGCTGATGCTGCAACCGCCCTGCACGCCCCCCCCCCCGGGGGGGGCAGGGTGGGGCAGAGCCTTCCCACCCCCACCCTCCGATTCTCTTGCTTGGAGAAGCTGCAGTCCCAGGTCCCTTGGTCCTAGCCTCTGCTCAAGCAGGGCTGTGGAAACACACCCCACTTCTGCTCCTGCAAGCTCACAGCCTCCTCCTTCGTTTTTCATCAATTCTTGTCCTTGCTCTGTTGGTTCATTCTCTTGTGTTTGGATTAAATCGAGTAATCAGAATCCAGCTGAGATTGTATTGATTTGGAGTCTATGAAATTTAAAGAGATTCTAAATAGACAACCTTTACCACGATTCCTAAGCCTCCTTTTTGGTTTCCTTCCTCACTGGAGGTAGCACCTCTTACTTGGCTGAGAAAACTCTGGCCTCCTTTTCCTGAACTTCCTCAACTTGCAGATGCATGAAAGGAGATGTTAAAGTGGACGTTTGGATCTCAGCATTGTAATCCAATAGCCTCCCCATGTGCACTGGGGCAACCTTGGGACCATGCATGACTCCAGGAGTTCGTAGTTCGTGATGAAGACTCTCTTAGATGACACTAATACCTACAACATGGACACAAAAGACTGGGAAGGAAGTCTTGAATAGCATTCCTTTGGAGAAAGCTGTGTTGTCAATATAATGACTCCTGCCTCCCATAGGAGTCGACAGAGGGCCTTGAGGTTGATCGTAACATATGGCCTCTGAAGCTTGGTGAGTGTGACAGACTGGTGGTGTCTGGCACATACCTGAAGCTTCCAAAGTGAAAGACAGGTCATGAGGTGGAGAGAGAACCAACTCCTTAGAAGATGGCCAGAATGCCTGAGTACGCCTAGGCTAGGCATGGGCCCATGCAGGGACAGTCAGGTTGGAGCTAAGATGACTAATTGAAGCTGAGGGAAGAAAGCAGGAGATTGCAAGACACTTGTTTCTTTTAGGCACCATGGAATGTCACTCACTTAGGGGTCTGAAGGACCTAAGGGACTGATTCATCTACCACACCTGCCAGGCTAGAGAACACGATGCGACACCACAAAAGTCCCACAAAATGAGAGCTGTCCTGTTCCCTGGCCACTTCCTGCTTCACTCCAGACAGGATAGATCCCAGAGCTTCTATCTGACTTCAGCGGTGGGGACTGTGAAGTTTCCCCTGCAGCTGTGGGAAGGCAGGGAGACCTGGGTTCTTGTCTGAGACAGGATGTCTGACAGATGCTGTTATCAACCCGAACTAGCCACACAGAGCCGGAGACTTGTTTCCAGCTCGTACTTTTCCCTTGAAGTTTTGTTCTTAGGTATTTCAAAGCTTGCCAGTTCCCTAACTGCTAGAGGTCGCATCTTCAGGCTTCTCAGGTTCTGGATGCCCAAATCAAGTATGCCTTTCTCTCTGAACAGGGACCTTCCTCTCTGCAGGCGAGAGCAGCTGGAAGTACCCCTTCTGCCTCCCTCCCTCCTCCTGTCCACACCATACTTCGCAGTACTAAGTTTTGGTTCATTTCTCCTGCGGTTTTCTATTTGAACCATTGAAAAACCCAGTTCCAACACAATGACTCGGTTCCGCATCATTGCTTCTCCATTAGAAATACCAAGAGAATGTGGTTCTAACAGCTCCTTCAGGTGTTTTTTGGGGGCTTCATTTGGCACAAAATACCTTTGTTTCAATTTTTACAAATTAAGACAATCTCTGTTCCTTTTTTGGTAAAGGTTGAAAGAACTTTCTGCGAAGTAGTTCTGAGAGGGCTGCCACTCATGCACGTGGGGCACTGCAGTCATAGGGTAGACCAGTTGTCAACTCTCCTGGATATCTATCTATCTATCTATCTATCTATCTATCTATCTATCTATCTATCTAT